TATATATATATATAAGGATATATATATATATAGATATATAGATATATATATTTATATTACATACACACACAGACCTGAGGCATCCTGGATTCCCATCTCTTCAAATGTCCCATACCCTTTCCAGCAGGGGTGCAGTAATGAAGCAGGAAATGGGTTACGGAGGGATGCTGGAACTCGGGGAGCAAGGAGGGATCTGAAACACAGGTTGCAGATAAGTCTTGAAGTGCACAGGTGTTCTGCTTCAGGCCGATGTGTTGCTTGCTATCTCTGCTCGCTCTCTCTCTCTTGACTGTCTCGCCTCACTCTCTGCCCTGGTTGTCTCTCCTCACTCTCTCTCCTGGCTGTCTCTCCTCGCTCTCTCTCCTGGCTGTCCTCACTCTTTCTTGGTTGTCTCTCCTCGCTCTCTCTCTTGGCTGTCTCTCCTCACTCTCTCTCCTGACTGTCTTTCCTCGCTCTCTCTCCTGCCTGTCTCTCCTCACTCTATCCTCTGTCTCTCCTCATTCTCTCTCCATGCTCTATCTTGGCTGTCTCTCCATGCTCTATCTTGGCCGTCTCTCCTCGCTCTCTCTGTTTAAATGTTTTAGCTTCCTGCAGAACCAGCTGGTCCCGAGCAATGGCCCTGATATCCTGTTTTAGGGTGGCTCCTTTCCCTTGCAGGACACTATTGAGCCACCCTTCTGTGTGCTAGTCAGCTGTGTGTCTCTACAAACACACAGGAACAGCCAGGCAATCTAAACCCTTGCTTCCTGCTCCCCACTCCTCCCTCCACCAAGCTAGTAGATGGACAGCCGCTGGAGACTGCTTTGTCCCTAGTGATCTTGTATTGGACAGGAAGTTCAGAGAAATGGAATTGAGAGAATTGGTGCCTTCTATTTGGAAACATAATGACTGTAATTGCTTGGGCAAAAATGTAAAGAAATTCTTTGATGGACAATGTAAATTTGTTTGATCTGGATTCATTATTGAAAAAAGTTTTAGAGTTTAATACTACTTTAACTACAAATCCCAACATGCCTTGCCAATGGGTCATGCCTGTAACTGTCAGTCTTCCAATGCCTCATGGGACTTGTAGTTCAGAACAGCTGGAGGGCCGGATTTGCCTACCCCTGCGCTCAGTGGCGACTCTAGGAACAATATATAGGGGGGGCACATTAGATACCACAGTCAAAAATGGGGGGGCACTAATAATTTTCACCACTTAATCATACCACTGAAAAAAACCTAAATATGTATATATAAATAAGATTACAAAATACGAGAGTATTGCAGTATGCAAGGATACCTTTTGTTTTTATTTTCCTAACCTAATACTTAAAAGACAAGCTTTCAAGAGTTTTCCTTTCTTCCTCGGTATTGCTTCAGACCTGAGAAAGAGAGAAACACTCTCGAAAACTTTTCTTTATAGTTTAAAGCAGTTTCAGCAAACACCAGGGCTGTGTAAATAATTCCGTATGTTAAACATGTCACTAAAGAAGACCAATGAACAGACGCTCACAGGGTTATTTCACAAAAGAGTGTAGAGTTTGGAGTAGGCAGCAGAAGTGAACAACAATACAGAATAATATCACCAGTAATGTAACGCAGAGTGCAGAAGTCAGTAATGTAACGCAATGTGCGGTTGTGAGGAGTGCGTGTAACACAGAGTGCAGTGGTGCGAGGAACGCAGAATGCGGCGGTCAGGGGTGCGTGTATTGCAGGGTGCGGCGGTCAGGGGTGTGTGTAACTGAGGGATGCGCTGGTCAGTGCGTAGGGGGGCACCCCCCTTGCCCCCCTGTAGCGACACCTATACCTGCGCTATTCCATGCAGTGCCTGATGCCTCTCCATTGAATGCATTGCCTAACTGCTCTCTGTTACATTAAGCATCTCTGTCTATATCTGCCTATGTTACATGCAATGCTTTCCATTTAGCAACTGAACAAAGCCAGTCACTGCTAGGGTACATAGCACAAAGTTGTTTTCTTTTTCACAGCACAATGGACCACAGCGCGTGTCAATGCAGCACAGTATATCACGCTGCTGTGCAAGGACATGAATGGAGTGTACAGTTCATACAGTCCAAATACAATTAAAAAAGAAAAGAAGTAAACATTGTGTTGCACATAGCGCATTACACTGCCTTCTACCAGACCTGTCACAAGTGCGACACTAGTGTGAACGTAGCCCACGTGTGTTAATGTGCATTGCATAAAAATGTTGTGCATTTTTCCACACGTCTCCGCACTGCACCTGTAGAAAGCAGGAATCACCAGCACTCAGTAAATATAGTTCAAGTAATGAATGCCCATTTATTCGGACTAGTAGTCACAAACGAAATACCAACGTTTCGGGGCCGCACAGGGTCCCTTCATCAGGGCACATTATTGCACATTATTCCCCTGATGAAGGGACCCTGTGCGGCCCCAAAACGTTGGTATTTCATTTGTGACCACTGGTCCGAATAAATGGGCATTCATTACTTAACCCCTTTGTGACGGGAGACGTACAGTGTACATCCCGGCACTTTGTGCCTATATGACTGGCCACGTACACTGTACGTGACGAGTTATATCAGGCTTTGTAATGCCGGTAACTGTTGATTCTCAGCAGTTACCAGTCATTAATGAATGCCTCAGTATTGAGGCATTCATTAATGAAATAGGAAGAAGCTTTTACAAAAAGCTTAATTTTCATTAATGAAAGAATGAAGCCGTTACATGCAAATACAGGACCGCAATTTGCGATCCTGGATTGGACAGCTGAAAATAGCAGAGAGGTAGCAGTGACTCACCTCTCTGCTATTTGTTTTGACAGCTCGAGAGCCGATGTTTAGATACATTTCACTCAAAGGATATACATTGTATCTTTTGAGTGAAATGTATCAGTTCTGATTGTCTAGGCACGATCAAAGAGCTTTTAGGGAGATCTGAATCCGACTAAAGTCAGGATCAGTCTCTAAGGTTATTATTAGCTGTTCCTAAGTTTGGAGCAGCCTAATAGCCAAACATTTAAAAAAAAGTTAATTTATCAAGCAGTCATAGTGACTGCTTGATATAAACGGACAAGAAAAAAAAAATTACAATTTTTTTTTTACAAAGTGTAAAAAAAATTAAATAAAGTGTAAAACAAAATTAGGAAAATAAAAAAATTCTAAAAAAAATAATAATAATCAAAACATGTGAAAAAAGTGTTTTCTTCTCGTTTTTTTCCCTCATTTTTTCATTTTATGCAAACTAAGTGAGGGGTTAGGTACACATATGTGATATAATTATATAGCCCTATCTGTCCTCTAAAAAACAATATATAATGTGTGGGTACATTTAGTAAGAAAGTATATTACTGCTGTGGAAGAATCACACAGCAAACATGTAGAAAGTGTGTCAGTCATTTATGAACAGAAACTGAAAACTAGCTCAGTCATGAAGGGGTTAAACTATATTTACTGAGTGCTGGTGATTCCTGCTTTCTACTGTTGATGTGCACGGCGCCATCCGTGATTATCACTGCGAGCAGCACCATTGCAATTTGGGCCGGGAACTCTGTAAGGAGTGCAGAGGGACCTACCGCTTTCTCCCCTCTGCACCTCTAACAAGTGTTTTCTATGTGCCACTGAAACGCAGGTGTGATCTGCCATGCATGCTGAATTTTTTTTCACAGCACACTAGATAGCCAAGCCACTGTGCTGACGCATATGTACGTTATGCCAGTGGGAAGGGGTTAAACACAACACTGAAAAACTATCTAAGCCCCGCATCTTTAATAAAGTGTGAAAAAGACCTGCATTTGCAGTTCACACCAGAACGAAAAGACTATTAAACACATAAATTCTTGATCTGAATGAAATACTGGGAAACTGAATTCAAGATTCTTATCCTCTGGTACCACACGTTCTCTGCCATATGTTTTCAGCATCTCCAGTCACCTGCTGGAAGTGTGGTCAGTCCGATGAAGATACTGTATAAAACATAAATTCTGCTCCTTTGACATTGGGAATAAGGGCTGTCACGTTTTCCCTTATTTGATTAACGCAGGCAAGAGCTGCGTACCGGAATTGTGGAAGCAACCTAATGTTCCCCCCATTTCAGTAAATAGCCAAGATAAATGAAATCAAATGAATGGAAGAGCTCATCTCCTCAGCAAA